GAGCTGCCAGAGGAAGTGTGGAGGCTGGTACAATTACAACATTTAAAAGGCATCTGGACAGATAAATCCAGGAAGGGTTTAGAGGGATATGGGCCAAATGCTAGCAAATGGGGCTGGATTAATTTAGGCTATCTGGTCGGCATGGATGATTTGGACCGAAGGGTCTGTTTCCATACTGTATATCACTATGACTCTGTGTCTCTAATAGAGGTGGTGGGTTTGGAAGGAGTGTGACAGTGGTGCATCTTGTGGATGGTACACAATGCTGCCATTGTGTTGACAATCATCCATATGGAGAGAGAAATAAATGTTTCAGGGCTGAGACCTTTCATCCTACTCACTTCAAAAGCACAAGCAGCTGCAGAGGGCCAGCACAGAATGACAGTCTGAATGGCCCTTGTGTGGTCACTATTCTTGGATTCTAGTTAAGCAAAAGCAGAACACAACTGAGACTGGTAATCTGGCTTAAAAGCAGCAAGTGATCCAAGATCTCAGCAGGTCAGGTAGCAACAGTGGTGATATAAACATTTCTAAAATGTTCTACTTTCATTTCAATTGTATGCCCTTGTCTTAGGTCTAAGATGTTTAAGGTTGTTAAAGATACAATATAATTGAGATTACTTTATATATCTGTGGCATAACTCTTCTGTTAGCTCAGACTATTAGATACAGGAGCAGAAGTAGGCTATTCACCCCCATCTTTTCCACCATTCTATAATATCATGGTTGAACTGATAATTCTCAACTCCATGTCCCTGTCTTCGCCCCTTGGCTGTCCCTGAATTTCTTGGTTTCCCTCTTCAGATAATGATCCAATTCCCTTTTGACTGACTAATCAGATTCCTCTTTATGAAACTTGTTCTTTATTGTAATGTGAAAAATATGCATCAGCTACAAAAGTAACTAAACACAACTGAATGACCATATAAGAACTTAAATAGGCACAGGACATACAACTGCCTGAATCTGCTCTGCAGTTTATTTCCTAATCAACCTGCCTAGATGTGCTATGATACGCCCCAGAGCATTTGGGACTTGTAGCCAGGCCTTCTGGCTCAAAGGTAGGAACACTGCCACTGCACCACAGGAGCCCCTGCTCTGCAGCTTAATGTCACGACTGACATTTGATTTCAACACTACTTTCCTGTCCCATTCCCATATCCCTCAATTCCTGTAGAATCCAAAAATCTATTAACCTCTGTTTTGAAGAGACTGAACATTTGAGCATCCATGGGCTGGAGAATTCCAGGATCTCATAATCTCCCCGAGGGAAGATGATATTTGGTTCAAATGAGAAATGGCTGATCATGTAGTAATGATTAACTCCATAAGTCCGAAATGTATAGTTCTCCCTTAAAACCAAGCTATGGTTCAGTGACCAGCAAGGCTAATGATCACTGAGAAGAGAGCAATAGTGAGTAATGAGTTTCTCAAAATCATATATAGAAATGGTATAGTACTTCAGAATGAAGACTCTCACATTAGATTTTTATCAGGTCTGGATATTTGGGTATGTTGTTCTAGCTGTCTTCTAAACTCTCCCTTGCTAGATATAGGATTTTATTTTGGAATCTGTATGGGCTTGGATCTAAAATTAATACATTTTAAATTTTATTTTTAAAAAATCGTGCTAAAATGGTATTTTTTTTCCCATTACCTATGTTCCCAGCAATCAGAATTTTGGATCAATCTTACAGCCAAGCTATTAGGATATTCTTCACCTGGGCTTGATTTTGTGAGGTGTGTATTCACACACAAACTGAGGAGGAAGTCCTGTCTTTGAGAACTGTTGACTAATCTGGTTGGCCAGCAGCTTGCTAGTCCCAGGAGCAACAGACAAATGCCTAAGGAGAGGAGACAGAGTCACACAGCCATAGAGACATACAACACAGAAACAGACCCTTCAGTCCAACTCGTCCATGTCGACCAAATATCCTATATAAGTTTAGTCTAATTTGCCAGCATTTGGCCCATATCCCTCCAAATTCCTTCTATTCATATACCCATCCAGATGCCTTTTAAATGTTGTAATCGTACCAGTCTCCACCACTTCCTCTGGCAGCTCATTCCATATATGCACCACCCTCTGCATGAAAAAGTTGCCCCATAGGTCCCTTTTAAATTTTTCCCCTCTCACCTTAAACCTATGCCCTCTAGTGTTGAACTCACCCACCCCGGGGAAAAGACCTTGTCTATCCACCCTATCCATACCCCTCATGATTTTATTAACCTCTATAAGGTCATCCCTCAGCCTCCGACGCTCCAGGGAAAATAGCCCTAACCTATTCAGCCTCTCCCTATAGCCCAAACAGTCCAGCCCTGGCAACATCCTCATAAATCTTTTCTGAACCCTTTCTAGATTCACAACATCCTTCTTATAGGATGGAGACCAGAACTCCAATTAGAAGTTTTATTTTAAAAAAGTTATTCACGGGATGTGGGCATCACAGACTGGACCAGCATTCATTTCCCATCCGCAGTTGCCATTGAGAAGGTATGGTGAGCTGACTTCTTGAACCGCTGCAGTTCATTCAGGATAGGTACTCCCACAATGCCATTAGAAAGGGAAATCTAGGATTTTGACACATTGACAGTGAAGGGACAACAATATAGCTCCAAGTCAGAATGGTGAGTGGCTTTGAAGGGAAGTTGCAAGGGGTTGTGTTTCCCATGTACCTGCCGCACATGTCCTTCCAGATGGTAGTGATCATGTGTTGGGAAGGTAATAAGGAGCCTTGGTAAATTTCTTCAGTGCATTTATAGATAGCGTACTACTGAACATTGGTGGTGTAGGGTCTATATGTTTCTGGGTGTGGTGCCAATCAACCAGGCTGTTTTGTCCTGGATGGTGTCAAGCTTCTTGAGTGTTGTTGAGGCTGTACTCACCCAGACAAATGGGGAGTATTCCATCACACTCCTGACTTGTGCCTGTAGATGGTGAACAGCCTGTGGGGAGTCAGAAAGTGACTCACTGCTAGATTCTTAGCCTCTGACCTGCTCTAATAGCCTAGAGACTAGTCCAGTTCAGTTTATGGTCAATGGTAACTCCCAGGATGTTGATAAGTGATAGCAAGTGATAGACAAAGGGAAGGCGATGGCCTAGTGGTATTATTGCTAGACAATTAATCAAGAGACCCAGGTAATGTTCTAAGGACACAGATTCAAATCCTGCCACAGCAGATGGTGGAATTTGAATTCAATAAAAAAAATCTAGAATTAAGAATCTACTGATGACCATGAAACCGATGTCAATTGTGGAAAAAACCCACCTGGTTTACTAAAGTCCTTTAGTGAAGGAAATTTGCCATCCTCGCCTGGTCTGGCCTACATGTGACTCCAGACCCACAGCAATGTGGTTGACTCTCAGTTGCCATATGAATTAGCCTAGCAAGCCATACAGTTGTACCAATTGCTACAAAGTCTCAAAGAAATGAAACCCAGGCATCGACCTAGGCACTGGAAAAGACAACGGCAGATACAGCCCTGTAGACCCTGAAAAATCCTCCTCACTAACACCTGGGGGCTAGAGAAGAATTGGGACAGCTGTCTCACAGACTAATTAAGCAACAGCCTGACATAGTCATACTCACGGAATCACACCTTACAGACATTGTTGTAGACATCACCATCACCATCCCTGGATATGTCCTGTCCCATCGGCAGGGTAGACCCAGCAGAGGTGGTGGCACAGTGGTATACATTTGGGAGGGATTTGGTCTTGGAGTCTTCAACATTGACTTCATACCTCATGAAATCTCATGGCTTAAAGTTAAACATAGGCAAGGAAACCTCCTGCTGATTACCACGTACCATCCTCCTTCAACTGATGAATCAGTACTCCTCCGTGTTGAACAATACTTGGAAGTAGCACGGAGGATGTTGTGTGGCACTATCACTGTGCTAAATGGGACAACTTCGCACAGATCTATCAACTCAAGACTGGGCATCCATAAGACGCTGTGGGCCATCAACAGCAACAGAATTGTACTCCAGCAGAATCTGTAACTTCATGGCCCAGCAAAACCCCACTCAACCATTACCATCAAGCCAGGGGATCAACCCCAGTTCAATGGAGAGTGCAGGAGGTCACGCCAGGGGCAACACCAGGCATACCTGAAGATGAGGTGTCAACCTGGTGAAGCCACCAAACAAGACTACCTGCACACCAAACAGCGAAAGCAGCAAGTGATAGACAGAGCTAAATGATGCCACAACCAACAGATCAGATCTAAGCTCTGCAGTCCTGCCACATCCAGTCGTGAATGGCGGTGGACAATTAACCAACTC